TCACCCATGGACGCTGACAGGGGGATGCAGGTGGCTGTGCATCGTTGCGACTTCAGAATACACTCAACTCTCGCTCTCTGTCTCTTCTCTTCTCTCTCTCTCCTTCTATTTCTCCTCCCCTCTTTCTCTCTTCTTCTATTTCTCTCCCTACACCCTCTCTCTCTCTCATTCTATTTCTCCCTACCCTCTCTCTCTCTCTCCTTCTATTTCTCCTACCCCCTCCCTCTCTCCTTCTATTTATCTCCCTCCCCCTCTCTCTCTCCTTCTCCTTCTTTTTCCTTTCCCTCTCCCTATCTCTATCCTCTTCCTCTCTAGCCCTTTTCCTTCTCCCTTTCCCCCTCCTACTCCCTATTGCAACCCCTCTCTTCCCTCTCTCTCTCTTTCTCTCTCTCTCTCTCCTCTCCTATTTCCCCCCCCCTCTTCTCCCTCTCCTCTCCTTCTTCCTTCTCCCCTCTCTCTCCTCTCCTCCTCCCTCCCTCCCCTCCCCTCCCCTACCCTACCCTCTCTCTCTCCTCCTCTCCTTCTCCTCCCTCCCTCCCCGCCTCTCTCTCTCCCTCTCACCACCTCTTCCGCAATGTGGCCCAGCCGTCAGGAGGCAGCAGTGGCCGCCCGAGCGAAGCGGCCGTTAAAATGCCGTTCAGTGTTTTTCCGGATGTCGTCACTGAATGAAGAAAAAGAGAAACACAGAGAGAAGAGAGAGAGAAGAGAGAGAGAGAGAGAGAGAGAGAGAGAGAGAGAGAGAGAGAGAGAGAGAGAGAGAGAGAGAAGAGAGAGAAGAGAGATGGAGAGAGAGAGACGAGAGAGAGAGAAGAGAGAGAGAGAGAGAGAGAGAGAGAGAGAGAGAGAGAGAGAGAGAGAGAGAGGAGAGAGAAAAGAGAGAGAGAGAGACGAGTGGAAGGAATACACGAAAATGTGCAAAAAGTATGCGGGTTGCTTCTGTTCGTCTCTTGTTGCCATTTTTTTTGCTCTTGTTTCTTCTTCTTCATCTTCTTTTCCTTCTACTTTTCTCCTTCAGCTCTTCGTCTTTTCTTTTTTTTTTCTTCTTCTCCTTCATTTATTCATTCTTTTCGTCTTCTTCTCCATCTTCTATTCCTTCTCTTCGTCTTCTCTCTCTCCTTCATCTTCTATTCCTTCTCTTCGTCTTCTTCTTCTCCATCTTCTACTCATTCTCTTCGTCTTCTCTCTCTCCTCCTCTTATATTCCTTCTCTTCTTCTTCTTCTCTTCCTCTACTATCCATCCTTTCCATCTTCTATTCCTCTTCCTCCTCTTTATCCCCGCGTTTTCACAGCCACAAATACGAAATTCAATGAAAGAGAATGGGTATAATTCCCCAACGCAAGATTTTGTAAACATCCCTTTTAACGCAAAACCTTCAGCAACGTCGCGGGATTCTACACACTCCCCTTTGCATCGTCTCTGCACGGTATGTTGCAATCTCTTGGGTTTGTCTGTTTGTCTGTCTGTCCGTGTCTGTCTTGTCTGCCTGTTTCGAGTCAGGTTTTTTTTTCTTCTCTTTGATGTGTCCTCTTGTAAGTTTTTTTTTCTTTGTTTTTCCCTTTTCTGCTTATTTTCTGTTTAATCAGTCTGACGGACTTTCCTCTTTTTAATGTCATTTTCTCTCTCTCTCTCTCTCTTTTCTTTCGTTTTCTCTCTTTTTCTTTCTTTCTCTCTCTCTCTCTCTCTCTCTCTCTCTCTCTCTCTCTCTCTCTCTCTCTCTCTCTCTCTCTCTCTCTCTCTCTCATCTCTTTGTCTCTGTCTGGTCTATTTTTCTTATTTTTTCTATCATACACTTGCCATCATAACGGTAACTATCTAATCAAAAGTAGGGGTACACACAGGCAGATATATAGATAGATAGAAAGAAATTAGCAAAAACGAAAAAGCGAGATAGAAAAATAGATGGAGATAAGAAAGAGAGGGAAAGAGAGAGAGTGAAGGGGAAAGAGAGGGAGGGGGGGAGAGGGAAGGGGGAGAAAGGAGAAAGAAAGAGAGAGAGAGAGAGATAGTTAGACAGAGAGAGCGAAAGAGAAAGAAAAAAGAAAGAAAGTGAGAAAAAGAGAAAAAAAAAAAGACCAAGAACGCTCAAAAAAACAAGACCAAGAGAAAGAAAGAGACACAAAAACAAAACCGAAAAAACACAAATACACCTTCCAAAGGACACCGAAGGACCCAATCCTACCCACCATCCTCTCAGTACACTTCCAGAAGGACAGACATGGAAAGCAAAAAAAATCCTGTCACAAGGCGCTCCACTCGCGAACGGGGAAGAGGGATGGAATGGAGAGCAAGGACAGGAGAAGTGAGAAGGGGAGGAAGAAGAAGCGAAGGAAAAGAGAAGACTAACATGATGAAGGTAATATAAATATATTATATATATATATATATATATATATATATATATATATTATATATATATATATGTATATATGATATAAGTATGTAACATAAGATATATATACGTATGATATTTATAATATATATAATACACACATATATATA